CAGGCCAGGCGAGGCGAGGCGAGGATGCGTCGTGTGAAGGTGGTCCTCGGGCACTTGGCCCCCGGGGCCGGGCAGCTCAGGGCCAGTCCCTGCCGGGGCTCCTCGGGGGCCTCCCGGGCGGCGGCAGCGGTGGCCAGCCCGGAGGACGTGGTGGTGGTCCACGGGCGACGGACCCCTATCGCCAAAGGCAAGCGGGGCGGCTTCACAGGCGAGGCGAGGCGAGGATGCGTCGTGTGAAGGTGGTCCTCGGGCACTTGGCCCCCGGGGCCGGGCAGCTCAGGGCCAGTCCCTGCCGGGGCTCCTCGGGGGCCTCCCGGGCGGCGGCAGCGGTGGCCAGCCCGGAGGACGTGGTGGTGGTCCACGGGCGACGGACCCCTATCGCCAAAGGCAAGCGGGGCGGCTTCAAGGTGAGGGGAAGACGCGGGGCGGCCGAGGGGGGGGGAACCGGTCCTGTGGCCTTCAGCGGGCGGGAGGGTTCAAGGATTCCCACCCCCGACTACAATGCCCAGAATCCCCTAGCCGGCCAAGACCTCTCCTTGCGATTGAAGAGACGTGGCTTTTTGGGGGTGGAGGGGACGACTACAACTCCCAGTATCCCTCAGCCTGCAAAGGGAGGGAGGGTGTCACTGAGTAAGGTAGAAGCTGTGGGGAATGTGGCTTTTGGACTCCAACTCCCAGCATCCCCCGACCGTGCGAAGGCTAACCCTGACGAGCAGGCAAGGTCTTGCACAGAGTTTACAGGTTGGACTACAACTCCCAGAATCCCCAAGTCAGCCAGCCAGAAATTGTAATCCAATAATGATGATGATGATGATGCCATTTCCAGCCTCTGCTCCATCTCCTCCATCCCTATTGCCAGGGTTAAAGGACACCCCCCCAGACACCCCTATTGGCCACCTTCAAGAAATGCCAAATATTGCACTCGTATTTTCATAATTGCCTTGTATTTCTTTAGACTGGGCAGTTTTACCTACTGGTGGGAGGAGGTCTGTGAGTCTTCAGGCAACAGAGTCCTCGCCACATCATTTATTTGTATTTTTATTACCCGCACAGTCAGTGACCTTTGATCCTGAGCCTAGTTGCCCTCAGCAGGTGGGTGAAGGGCCAATACAGTATTATAAGGGACGAGCTGCATCATTAATAATACTGTTGTCTTTACTAAGAGAGCGAAAAAGTCCTGCAAACCCTTAAAGACTAACAAACTTGGTTTGGCACAAACTTTCACGGGCTGTATCCCACTTCTGACAGAATGGGCTACAATCCACAAAAGCTAATGACAAATATTAGTTGTGTTTCAGCGCCACAAAGCAAAATAGCAGAAGCCGTCCCAGAGGGGTTTGTGTCTAAATAAACCAACAAAACACCAAGAGGGAGACAGGAATTAAATCAGGTCCTCTCCTTCAGTGGTTTCTCTTCTGGGGAACGTAAAATTATTTGGTGTCTAAAACTTTGCCTCGTCTTTTGCAAAAATAGAGTATAATACTAAAAGAATGCCATGTTGCTGTGCCGTATTGCATAAAAATGGTAGACTTATTGGAGGGCCAAAGGGTGTGTGTGTATGTCTAACTTCTTTAACAACCATTTGATATTTCCGATAAGGAGCCAAAGACCTGTCGTGAAGGTAAGGGATAGGAAGGGAAAGAGGAAAGTGACTGCTTGGCTTGAAGAAATGAAGATACTTGTTCCTCGTCAAGGAAGATCTGAAAAGACATGAGGGCACATTTGGAACTGGAGAGAGTGGGCTTGGGTAGTCAAATGAAGAGTGCTCAGAACCCAGAACGGTTTTAACCTCCGTTTCTGCTGTGCCGTTCCAGGAGACTACCCCCGATGAGCTGCTTGTTGCAGTCATGACAGCTGTCCTGAAAGACCTGCAGCTAGACCCTGAGAAGCTGGGGGACATCTGTGTGGGTGAGTAAATGAGCCTGGATGGGGCAGGGCTGGGTCCCTTTTCCCTCTGCTCCTCCACCTTTCACTCTGCTGAAATCACAAATGTAATAATGGGCTAGTCGGATTTGGGTCTCTTCTCCTGGCAGGGGGAATGGGCGGTGATTTCATTTTTGCATACTTGCTGCTGCAGTTTGTATCTATGGAGGCACATCTGAACTGCGTACGTATAACCAAAGTGGGTTCCTCTCTTTGCACTTAGGAAATGTACTTCAACCTGGGGCCGGAGCATTGACAGCGAGAGTTGCACAGTTTCTAAGGTGAACTTTGCTACCTAACATTCTGGAGAGAGGATGGCACCAGTTCCTTGGCACGGAGTTAAGAAATGCATCAAGAGAGAGGCCAAGCCTTCCAGTTTGTGCTGAAGTTGGACTCGGAGGAGCTGTGCCATTGTGCCTGCTTTCTGTGAACTTTGTCATACTTTATGGGGCGGGTCAGAGATGTGGCAATAACTGCGTTGTGAGTTTTCTGTGGGCAAGAGGATGACAAGCATGGTAGGGGAGGCGAAAGAAAGATGAAGCTTGATAGGCAGTCATACAGGCAAAGTTGATTTTAACTTAAATAAGTTTGGGTTGCAGAGGCATTGAGAGACAGTGTATGTGAAAGCATTTAATACTGCCCCATTTCTCCTACCGTGTTTCCCCGAAAATAAGACAGAGTCTTATACTAATTTTTGCTCCAAAAATGCATTAGGGCTTATTTTCAGGGGATGTTTTATTTTTTTTAATGTACAACAATCTACATTTATTCAATACAGTCATGCCATCTTCTGGTTGCTGCACGGGGGGGGGCTTTTACTTAACTAGGGCTTATTTTGAGGGTAGGGCTTGTATTACGAGCATCCTGAAAAATCATACTAGGGCTTATTTTCAGGGAAAACAGGCTATGTGGCTAGTTACTGGGCCTATCTTAGAAGGAATGCGCCGGGCAAATGGATGATGATGATTGTTGTTGTTATTATTATTATTATTTTCATGCTATCAAGTTGATTCTGACTCATGGCGACTCTTTCCAAGATTTCTTAGGTATAAAATATGCAGACGTGATTTATCATTCTTTTTCTCCTGGGGAATGTTCTGGGATTTCCAGTTTACCTATAGCCATGCAGACTACAAGGCTCAGTGGAAAACGGAACTCCCAGCCTCAGGTTCTAACTCACTGAGCTATCCAGCCAACAACTGGAGTTATCCTTTGGGGGGGAAAGGGGGAGATGCCTTTTTATCTACAGACAGTGGGCTGCTCCTATAGGAAAGTAGTCAATTGTACCTCTGCTGGTGTTTTAGAGCTTGATGGCCGATGTCCATTGTCTGGTCTCTACATCAAGTGGTGTTCAGAAGAGTTGCCATAGGTCTTGGGGAATGTTTATACATATATTCACATTGTCACAGCTATGGCCCTGGCAAATCTCTGGACAGTCCTGAACCAGGTGGACGGGCTTTCTGACTCATTCTGTAGTTCTAACATTCAAGCTACATTTTGTGTGTGACAACCCAATTTGTTGTCCGTTTAAAATCTGTGTGACCAAACAGGCTTAAGGGTTGATGATTTTTACTCAGAGAAATCTTTATGACACAAGGTGAAACAATCTCAACATAAGGCCTCTCTAAGAGTAATTAGTCCATCCGAGTGTGAAGGGGCTGCTCTGAAGTTTGAGTTTCAATTCCATTCCTGTACTAAATCATTTTTTTTTCTTTGGGTTTTGTTTTAGTGGCATTCCAGAGACTGTGCCATTGCAGTGTGTTAACAGGCAGTGTTCGTCTGGCTTGCAAGCCGTGATCAATATTGCTGGTAAGAAAGGGGTGGTCACAAAGACATAAAACTCTACACTCAAATTCAGCACTTGAGGAATTCAAGTATAGTCATAGAATCATAGAATTATGGAGTTAGAACAGGCCTATAAGGCCATTGAGTCCAACCCCCTGCTCAAGGCAGGAATCCAAATCAAAGCAGATCTGATAGGTAGTCGTCCAGTTTTCTCTTGAACGCCTCCCCCAAGGTAACTGGTTCCATTGTCATGCTGCTCTAATAGTTAAGAAGTTTTTTTTCCTGATATTCGGCCTAAATCTGGCTTCCTGTAACTTGAGCCCATGGTTGTGTGTCCTGCACTCTGGGATGATTGAGAACAGATCCTTCCCCTCCTCTGTAGGACTACCTTTCAAGTACTGGAAAAGTGCTGAGAGCAGACAAAGCCCCAAGGTAACTGGTTCCATTGTCATGCTGCTCTAATAGTTAAGAAGTTTTTTTTCCTGATATTCGGCCTAAATCTGGCTTCCTGTAACTTGAGCCCATGGTTGTGTGTCCTGCACTCTGGGATGATTGAGAACAGATCCTTCCCCTCCTCTGCAGGACTACCTTTCAAGTCCTGGAAAAGTGCTGAGAGCAGACAAAAAAGGCTAGTATTAGAATAGGTGTAAATAAATTTACCTGGAGGCTAGGAAGCAAGACATAGTCAGCGTTCAGGGGTGGTTCCAGCCTGTCACTTTGACCTTTGGCAGGCATGGTTTGCACATTTTCAGCTTTAAATATCTAATTGTGCCACATTGGTTGCTTTAGATAATGATTTATTTTATTTTCAGGCGGCATCAGGAACGGATCTTATGACATTGGATTGGCCTGTGGGTAAGACCATTTTTAAATGACTGTGCTCTGCTCTTATGGCAGTGTTTTGTCTGTTAATTGATTTTGTGCATGGCCTTCGTGTGTCGATCATAAAGATTTTCTGTGTTCTAAACCAGCTGATACTGAGAAGTAACTTCTCAATGCTGGCGTTTTGTGAGTGTAATGTAGGTTTAAGAAACTCTTTAACATATTTGTCCTGGCAATGATGCAGTGAAGTGTGCTCATATGCAGTCAAGACTTGTGATGAGTGTTGATGCAACTTGGAAGAGCTCCTCTTCCGTTGAATTTATCATCTGCTCAGGAGATCTAGAACGCTTCATTCACCTCCTAGAACAATCCTGCCATTTTACAGAAAGTTTGTGAAACAGTCTGAAAAAGGCTGATGGGTGCCGTTGGGATCCTCCACTTACAGATGGAAGTTCCATTGAAAATCCATAGAGTAGTCAGTGAGGCAAATACTTTAGACCTGACAAGAACCATTACTAGAATTATCTCCCTGCATTTTCTGGCATGTAATAGAAAAGATTGACGCTTCTCGCCTCACGAGTGCTTGTGGGAGTTGATGATCACAGCACATAAACAAGCATGCATCTTTTTTCTCCCTACTCCAGAGAGAACTCTTGGAGCAAAGAGGGAGGTGGCGTGGGGATCCTTCTGTGGCTTTGCAGCTACCAGGTGTGAAACAAACGAAGTTTCTCAATTATAATATCCAGGCATTTTGGTATGGATGATTTTGCATCTCTTCGTGGCTGCAAAATCAATACTGATGTGATCAACAAGGATTCAGTCAGGTGGCTGTAAGCATGCTGTGGAGGGACTCTGGGATTTGTGTCCAAAAGAAGTAACTTTTCCAAGCTTCCAGAGAGGCTGGATGTGCAGAACTTTACCTAGAACCTTGCTTTTTATATACCCCACTCTTTCAAAATCAGTGTTGAAGCTTAGGGCATATTCAGCTCATATGCCAGAATTTGTCTCACAAGGTGAGGGTATTATGCCTGTATTTTCAGGCCTACTTCACAAGATCTTTTTATAATGAGTTGCTTACATGCCTTTGATCTTCAAGTGCAGTTTCATAGAGAGCCACTTCACATCCTCAAATGCACGTAAAATCCCTAGCAGTGGCCAAACAATTTTTTCCCTCGCAGTGTGGGAGAAACGTCTCAGCGCAGTTTTACGTCTTTTGGAAACGTATCTGTGTTCTTCTCCAGGCTTTGCATGTTGCTGTCAGCACTGCAATCACTTACGCTTGCCATGACTTGCAAATTTTGTGCTAGAGTAATGTAGGACAAAGGTTGAAAGCTCTGTGGTTCTTGACTGGAACACTTGTTGAGTTGCCGTTACACAGCGCAAGACAAGTACTGTACTGCTGCTTGCAGGGACCTGGGGCCTCCCTCTTGCTTTGGGGAAAAAAACCTCATCCTGTTTTTTGTTTTTCAGCATTGCAGTATGCAGAGCAATAATGTGGTTAACGTTATGCTAACCTGTCTGGCAGGCCTGCTCCCTCATGTTTCCTGTTCTCAGGACTTATACTACAGTCTATAACTATTCATAATTCTGGACTGCTATATCAGTAGATACACAGTTCTTCTAAGTAAAGTGGTGGCCATTCCTGAATTCCTAATCCTTTGTGCTCTTCCTCCTCATCATCTTTACGCAGTTTACAATAAGGAAAATTAACTCATAGACCCACCCACAAACCAAACATTAAACCTACAAACAAACAAAAAACCCTAACTGAAACCTAAATGATGGTGGGACCAAGTGACTCACATGTAGACAGACTCAGTGGATGATGTCCTTAAAAGTTTCTTTGAAGGATGATGTCTTTAAGATCCTCTTAAAGGTTGGAAGGGATGAGGCCTGGCACATCTCTGTAACAGGAGCCCATTCCGTAAGGATGGGGGCCACAACCAAGGAGACCCAGTTTCTGGTGGAGATCCTTTGCCTCCCTTGGCTTGGTGACCCATAAGAGCAAGGCCTATGAGGTTTGGGTGGTGCAGGCTTAAGTTCTTTGGGAAAGACACTCAGACAAGTAACAGGGTCCCAAACCGTTAAGGGCTTTTTAGGTTAGAATCAGAACCTTGAAGGTGGCTCAGAAAGGCACAGGGAGCCAATGCAGGTGGGCCAGTGCCAGGGTGATATGATCAGACCTCTTCGGGTCTGTTCTTGCGGCCTGGAGGTGTGCCAGGCTCCTTCCCACCCAATCTTTAGAAAGCATATTAAAATGTTGCTTTTCAGAGATGCACTCCAGGACACCTTGCCTTTATGACTCTTGTTACTTGCGTTCGTATGTTGATTATGCTTTTGGGTTTGCGATGGCCATCTTGGGTTCTTTTTTGGGCTTGCTTTTATACTATTGTGGGTGTGTGGGTTTTTTATGTTTATGTCTTATGTTGGAAACCTCCCAGAATAGGGACATGCCACTCGGTGGGGGTGGTACAGAAAATAAGTAATTAAAAAAGGATGCATTTTTCAAAGCCTTTGATTTAAATTAGTGACTTACTAGTAGCTTTGGGCAAGACGTTTAGCAAGCAACCCTTGCCTGTCAAGATTTCCATACTTATCTGGTATAGTTTCCTGGTGAAGCTATTGGACTGATGGCTGTTACAAAACGCAGGCACAGCCTTTCACTCAATGAATGTTTTTAGGTAGAATTTCAGAAAACATCCCCCGTGATCTGTCTCCCGGAAAGTGCACAGCAGTCCCTGGATGTTTTAAGAAACACACCAAAAGAGCAAATCTTTACCACCATGTCATATTACTTTTGGATGCTCTGTTGTTTTCTTATGGTTCCTTGGTGGTGGGGGTGGGGGTACTCATCATTTCACTGAGATGCTTCAGAGGCAATGCAAGTATGGCTGCATTGTGAAGTTTCATATTCAGAGTTCTGAACTGACAGCTCAGAAGAGCCATAAAATCTGCCGGAAGGTGGTGTAGTTGTAATAGACTGCTTTTCCTGGATCCTTCTAGGGGGATCAAATGAGTTTGTGTTGTTCCTGATGGCAACGGCCTTTGAGCACTTCAGAACCCCTTGAGGTAGAGAGAGAACTGATCATTTGATCCTGCACGTATCTGCTCAGAAGTGACTCCAGCTGAGTTCAGTGGACATTATTACTTCCCACTTGGTGGAGACAGGAGTACCAGCTCAGCTGATTTTGCTCATTAGCCCAGTCTGTGAAGTTGGGTGTTCAGGTAACGAGTTGATGTTTTTGTTGTACCTTGCTTCTTTAAATGAAATACCGGTTTGTATAAAATGATCAATTAGGCACTTAATCGCCTCCTTTCAGGAATCTGTGCAATTGTTCTTCTGTATGAGTGTCATTGATGAAAAGCATTATCTGCCTTTCTGTTCTCCCGCCAGAGTCGAGAGCATGTCTCTACGCAGTGCTGATAACCCTGGGGATGTCAGCTCTCGCATGATGGACAGTGCTAAAGCCAGAGATTGTTTGATCCCAATGGGGTGAGTCTTTTTCTTTCTTTCTCCTTTGCATTTTCAAAGGGCTTTCTTGACACAGCCTTTCATCTAAAAAAAGTGCCTGTATTTGTTCCTTGTGTAAGTTCCTGATAAAGGTAGGGACTAATGCCAGAATGGATCATGAAACAGTCACTGAAACGTTGTCAGTGTAAAATTGGCTGCTGTGTTAGTTAGCCTCAGGATTGTGGCCTCATTCTGCTCTGTGCAGAACAAAAAAGTTAACATTGCACAAATGTAATGCCTATCTGTTTCAGGGGAAGCAGGTGTGACTGCATCATTTCCAGCTTGCTTTTTGAATTTCAAAGCGGAAAGCTGTGGTTCCTGGGCTGAACATTGCTTCATAGGCATAGCTTCGGCCATGCATGTATTTTTGAATTAATCCCCGAGGCCAGCCTTGATGATGTGGAAATCAGTTGGTTTGGAGTTCAGTTACAGTTATGGAGAGGCTTCAAAGCTTCTGAACCACGGGGGTGAGATCATTGCAGGACTGCTTGTCTTTTTCAGAATAACCTCTGAGAATGTGGCTGAAAGATTTGGTGTCTCCCGGCAAAAGCAAGACGCATTTGCTTTTACTTCTCAACAAAAGTAAGTCTTTGCTTGTCATTCAGTTGGCAACTCTTGCTGCTGCTGCCTGTCCTGCTCAGATTGTTGTGATCTGTATGAAGCTGCCTTCTGCTCTGCATTTCTCCAGGTTTTAAGGCATGCGTCTTTTCCAGCCTCACCTGCTGGGGATTAAACTTGTGTCCTTTGGCACCTGAATGCCATGCGTTTCATGTCCAGAGAGATGGTGGCCTTGGTTGTACAGGTTGATCTGTAGCTTTTTACATCAGCATCTGTTCATATAAATCCTTTAGTTCTGCCGATGAAGACAAATAAATGTTGAACATTTTGCCTCAGTAGTTTGAGATGAACAGATGTTATAATGCTGGTTGTGGCTGTGATGCAGGAAGTGTAAGGCGGTTGGCCAGCCTTTCCCTTGAAATATAAAAACATGCAGAGTCTTGGAATTTGCCAGTGGGTAGATTACAAAGATGCATTCTGCCAGATGGAATAGTTCTGTACAATCAACAACCTCCATAGTCTTTTCATTTCAGATGATTTAATAAACTACAAGCAGAGTGATCATATTCACAGTACTATGAGTACCATTATTTGAGATGAAGCGAAGAGCATTTGTTCCCCTTGTAATTTTTCAGAGCTGCTCGAGCAACTACAAGCAGAGTGATCATATTCACAGTAACTATGAGTACCATTATTTGAGATGAAGTGAAGAGCATTTGTTCCCCTTGTGATTTTTCAGAGCTGCTCGAGCCCAGCAGATGGGATGGTTTAAAAACGAGATTGTGCCTGTGACGACCAAGATCACCGATGACCAGGGCAACGAGAAGACCATCACTGTGCTTCAAGACGAAGGGATCAGGCCGAGCACCACCCTGGAAGGGCTGGCTAAGCTAAAGCCCGCCTTCAAGGAGAACGGAACGACGACCGCGGGTGGGCAGCCGCAGAAACTCTTGGGAGGTGGAGCAGGGGAGCACGGGCTGAGTTGGGGATGTTGGTACTTTGTGGCAAGGAAACCGGTGTTCCTGAAGGTGTAGAAATCAGTGAAACGTGTGCCACCTTAAGCCCTCTGATTAGATCGGTTAAGTAGACAAGGGGACCTTGTTTCCTGTGGCAGCGAAGGATTAACAGTTAAGCAGGAAAAGTGGGTTTTTAAAATGACGTTAGCCATGAGTTTGCAAAGTAAGCAAAACCTGCTTAACTTCCATCTGGGGGAGCCCCAATGGTTACTGACTTGGAAAGATTCTTGCAAGCTCCTCCTATCACAGGTGTGGAATTCGTTAGACAGGCAGCAGGCACCCCCTTGCTCCTATCAACGTGGGCCTGCAGGTGGCTTAGAACGAACCGCCCTGGGTTCTTTTTAAGGAGAAAGGTGAAAACATTTTGAATAAATAATAAAATTAACCTGACCCTTGTTTCGCTCTTCTGTGTGGCTGCCTCGCAGCTTACCCATTGGCACTGTGCTCTCCTATTTCTGACATTCTTGAAACTACATTTGCCAAACCAGTGCTGACGTTTGCCTAAATGTTGAGTGCTGTGTCATTTTTTTTTCTGTAGGCAATTCCAGTCAAGTGAGTGATGGCGCGGCGGCTGTTCTCCTGGCCAAACGCTCCAAAGCATCGCAGCTGGGCCTGCCTGTCCTTGGGGTGCTGCGATCGTACGCTGTAGTCGGTGTCCCACCTGATGTCATGGGCATTGGGCCAGCCTATGCCATTCCAGCAGCAGTGGAAAAAGCCGGTAAGAACTGACCTTAAGAGGAAACACTCTGAAGCGCTGGTGCACCTGAATCATCTTCAGTGAAAAAATGCAAGAGATTCCAGGGTCTCAGCACTTTTAGGAGCTAGAGACCAAGGAGCTACTGCTCCTCTTGTGTGAAAAAAGGTTGCATAACCACCATCACCCCCAGGAGAACCATGGCTGGGCCAGTCAGAGTTTATACGTTACCCTGGGTTCAATGGATTAAGCCTCTGGCTCAGTATAAAGTCACTTCCTATAGTCCTGATGGGTAGCGTCATGAGCTGGGGTAGGCCCATGGGCCAGAGTTTCTCCATGCATGTCTTAAAAGGGAAAGCTGACAACAACTTTCTGTCCTGCAGGTTTGACTCTGAATGATATTGACATATTTGAAATCAACGAAGCCTTTGCTAGTCAGGTGAGAGTTGCCTCATTTTGCTGACCTTTGATTCTTGGTTACCTTGGAGGGAGGGAACAGTGTTCCTCTGTTCTATTGCTGTTAACAGAAGTACTAGTGGATTTTAGACACTAAGCCTAATATTTGCACTGTGTTTGAAACATATAAAATGTAAAATAAGACCTAAGAAAAGAGGCAGGATAGATTGCAGGTATCAGTAGCCCCTGGATAAGTAGTGTGAGCTAGTTGGACTGAAGATCTTTTCCTTCCCATGGGATTTTGAGTGGGAAGAGGGCCCTGAAATTCTCATTTAATGCTTTTCCTTTGTCGGCACCAGCAGTTCTGCAAAGGAAGTTAGCATTCTACTTCTCTCCAGTAGTTCTTGGCATACAAGAATAAGATGAACCAACAACTCCCCACTCTCAAGCTCCTGCTGAGGCAGTGCAATTTGCAATGTCTTAGTAACAGCAAGGCCACGAAACATGGAAGTCCTTTGCTTGCCTTTCTGTATGGCTTGAATTACAGAAGCACTGTGCATTTGGGATATCCATGCAGATTTCTCATGCTACATTAGTCAAGTTCATTCCAAAATGTGTCCGCTCTTCTGTGTTAAATACGGAGTGGGGGTGGAGAATGAATAAGAATAGGAGACTTAAGCAACTGTGCTCAACCGTTTTAAAATGTGAGATCTCTTTAATAAAAATATCTGGAAGGATCGGGGAAGAAGCCACTTGATCCAAGATGAGATCCCTGGCCAAGCGAACCTCTGAAGACGGTCTTGATTGTGGTGTCTCTCTCCAGGCTGTCTACTGTGTGGAGAAGCTTGGCATCCCGCTGGAGAAGGTCAATCCTCTTGGGGGCGCCATTGCTTTGGGTCACCCGCTGGGATGCACCGGGGCTCGCCAGGTTGTCACTCTCCTCAATGAGCTAAAGCGCAGAGGAAACAGGTGAGTGTGGCTTGCTTTAACTGCCGTTTTGAGGCATGCGACAAGAGCCTGCCCATGCACTTGTGTCATTTGATGCTACCCTAGATTGGAGAGGTTGCACAGCTGGTTTCTCAACTGGAGAAACTTGTTTGTTTGGCTGTTGCAAAAGTTGCTCTCTTGTAGGTTCAACCTGGTAAATAGTTTGGGAGCCACTGAAGAAATATTTTCAATCATGTTTTCTGTTTGTCTTCTTTCTTTCTTTCTTTCTTTCTTTATTTATTTTGCTTTGATTTGTGGATCTCTGAAGCCCACTTTAGGTTTTGCTATAGTTTTTACCTCCTCCTGCTTCTGTGGCCTAAAAGTGCAATACTGCCTTGAACTGAAAGCCATCTTTCTTGAAATTCTGAATGCTCAAGCACTCTTTCCCCCTTACCTGCCATTCCCATAATTTTCAAAGCAGTCTGAAAATTCCCATCATGCTAGGCATCTTCTTTCTATCAGCTGCCCTTCTGGGCATTCCCCTGAATCAGCCTTCCTGGGTGAGCTCTTTCAGCTCAGGGGATCCTTGACATGAAATCTGATTTTTACAATGCCCTGTTCTCTTGTGTCCTGCGATGTGGGAAGCCTGGCCTAAACAGCCCCATGTCAGCCGAGACTGAATTCCACTGCTTTCCAGGGAAAGAAGTGCAGGAAGAAGAATTTTAACTGGCTGAAGAACCTTGGAAGCTACTGGAGATGGGATATTTGCATTAGATGTGGGAAAGGAATAGGCTTATGGCCAGCACAGGTGCCTCGGCCCTTTGGACCCCCCACCCCACCCCCTCAGAACCAGCCCAGGCTTTGTGTGTTGGGTACATCCATCGTTGGTAACATTGCGCCGATCGCAGAAGGAGCTGGGGCAGTAACTTCCCTGCCTCCCTGGAGTGCTGAACACACTCAGCCGCTGAGCAGGGGAACTTGCCATCCTGCCTCTTTGCCAGGGTGGTCAGCAGTGCAGGGAGGCCGGGAAGCGCCGGCTGGGCTCCTTCCACAATTGGCATGATGTTACTGATGAGGGACACCACGTGCCATGCAAAGCCCCGTGAGTGGACTGGGCTGATTCTGGAGGGAGGAAACAGATATCCCCCCCCCCCGGGAAATGAATAGGAAACTCCCACATCTAGCAATGACTTAAAATGCAGCAGAACTGGAAGGTTCCGAGCTGCTCCATCCAAGGCCTGAATAGCCATCATGACATCCTGTGTCTAATCAGAGAGGAACTGGAAGGCTCCACAGAAGGAGGCAGGGAACCAAAGCTACGGGTCCCTCACATTGTATGGGTTGTGCTGACGATTTTGATGTCACATATACTTTTCTGTGGTACAACATTCGGCATCATGTTGCAGGGTATAAATTGGAAAACGCAGGTACCCCATGCAGGTGTGAGCTGATATTTAGCATTGGATGATTCCTCTCTTAAAATTTACAGGCTGCAATTTTTTTTAAAAGCCTGTTAACAACGTGCCCTCTTCTTTCAGGGGATATGGCGTGGTCTCCATGTGCATCGGGACAGGTATGGGAGCGGCTGCAGTGTTTGAATATCCAGGGAAGTGAAGTCACTTCCAGCCTGCTTGGAAGACCGCCCCGTGCCTTAATGCCTGGAATTCTCCAACCGACACACGGCTCCCTGAATCTGTCTAAGGAAAAGATGTTCTGTGCCCAGCCCAGCCTGCCGGTGGGAGGCACCCCCCAGAGCCTGATGTCCGTCTTGCCACTCTTACGACACATCTCCAGCCTTCAGCTACAGGCCCAGCTTCTCTACTTGAGTTGCTGGCACAGCTCATGGCGACTCCCAGCCGTGGGCTGCCAGCAATGACATGCTTGTTACCACAAAGAAGGGGTTGAAGGAACTCCAGAGATCCGTAACACATCTTCTGAGTCACGGATCTGATAGCTACTGCTGTACCCGAAGAGAACTCTTGGGGTGTCTGAGCTTAAGGTGACTAGCCATGCTTGGGAGTGGGACACAGCAAAGAGTACAGGCTATTTCTTTTATCTAGACTAATGTTGCCCAGTTCAGAACAGTTACAGACAAATGTGGAAGCCCTAAAGGGGGTGGAGGGCACTGCGTTTGCTTTCTTTACAGGGGTAACCCCTACAGGCAGCAGGGATAAAGCCTCAGTTGATGTGATTGTATTCAAGGGGCTAAATCATCATTTGGTGCAAGAAAACTGTCATTTGACAAACGGGTTAGTGGGTAGTAGCAAAAAGCCAGAGTATTCCCAGCACATCTTTATGCTAATGTTCCGAGTGAGACGGTCTCTTCAAAATATGCAGGTTCTCCCTGCCTGTCTTGTCTTTTAACGGGTAATGGCTTGTTAATATGTTTAAAAGGCAGCCTTCAGCCCACTTAATGTGATGCTTAAAAACACTAATATGGCAGATTAAGAAATGCAAATTAACGTACAAACAGAAGAGGTTAAATGATGAAAGGAAGCAAAAGTGGACTGTTCTACCGTCCTTTAATAGGATAAGTTGTTTTAAGAATTTGGGAGGGAAAGTAAGCTGTGAATTTATCCTTCACCATGATCACTAGACCAGATAAGTTACAAATGGATGACTGGAGATAAAGAACTGATCATTAGTTGATTAACGCATATTAAATACTTCTGCCAGTGGATTAAACTAGAACAGTAATACCTCAATGTGGTTGATGGTATAACACACATAGAAGGAATGGTTCTCTAATAACAAACACTGATGTTCTGTTACTGATTCTGATTAATGGTGTGCCACTGATTCTTACTTTCTTGCCTGATCTGGTGTATAAGCGTATGGCTACCTTTGCATCTCTACCAATTAAAATGGGGACCTTTGAGATTCTTAAAGAAGTGTCCCATGTAAATTTGTATCTCCTTCCTATTCTGGTGAAGGATCATATCACTGTTTTCCTCTTTGCTTCTAGCCTGGACTTGTGGTCCATCCTCAAAGACTCCTATGGATTTGCCGCATAGGGAACCTTGGTCCACGTACATATTAGCACTGCCACTGTTCTTGACACCAAGCCGTCAGTGTTTGTTGGCCTATATAAGCACAGCAGAACCAGGCTCCGTGTCTTTTGTGTAATGGTTTTAAAAAAGACATGGGACCAGTTAAGTGACTGGGCAGGACTGAAGTTCCCAGCCTTTTGTGCTTACACAAGCGGACATGTGGAAAGAACGTCTTGGGCCAAATGCACCTGTCAGCTGTGGCGGAGAAAAACAGTCTCGTTGCAAGGCAGTTGACTATTGTGATGCTCTTATTAGAGGTCCAATCCTTTGCTTACTCAGCTGTCTAGAAACCACTGCCTTTTATTTTCTCCTGTTTTATAATGGAAAAGCCAACCCCACCCAGATCAGCGACTTACTTTCGGCCACATGAATGAGCTGCCTTTTTGATCGCCCACTGTGAAAGTGGTTGGGGGCTCAGGTTTTGAGCCTCTCTTCGTACTTCTCATCGTAGGAGCCTCTTCCGCGGATGTGCAGCAGGCAAGGCTTTTCCCCGAGCATTCCGACAACAGGCACGATCGTTTCATAGTCCACATCCTCCCTGTCAAAACAAGTACCATTTTCGTTGGAGAGCTGGGGGAAAAGGTCTTTTTCGGTTAACAGGGTTGCTTAAGGTCTTGGGTAAAACTCTCCTTGAAGGGCTCGTGGCACAAGACACAATGAAAAAGCGGGAGCGGGCCCCACATAGGCGCAGCTACTCCTTGCTCAGAGCGAAGCGGCTTTCAACCCACGTGCGGCACCTCCCCTTCATAATGGCTTTGGAAGACAGACGGAGACAACAGCTTGAACAAAAATCTGATCTTGCCAGTGGGGGTGCCTCCAGACACCTGTGCAGCTCTCTGATACACCCCAGCTTTATTACATGGTTACATTAATGAAGGATCGTATGTCTTTATGCCGGCTGTGCAACAATGATCTCCCCCAAAAGGGTAGATGGAGGAAGAAGCCCTGCCATTGCTGTGCAACCCCCTCGAGCTCTTTCAGGGACTCAATAATAGTGGCACACTGGACTTCTTTAGAGAGAGGCCTCGTTTTTCTGCATGTCTTGCCACCACAGGACTGTCCGTCTGCCTGTTATGCCCATTGTAGCAGTGTTGTCATGCTTACAGCGATGACGTGCTCGTATAAAACAGAATTGGCAGTTCACACAAGCAACATCGTTCTAGAAGGCTGCTACACTTATCTTCTGATGACCCAGACTTTCCTTTTTGTCATGATACTCATGATCAGAAAACCCTTTTGCTGTATCTCTCCCACAGCTGGCATAAGTTACCAGGAGGGGGGAAAAAGCATGAATCTGGACAGTACGATGAAGCTGAAGGGGAGCAATCCGGAAAGCCCGCCCTTTGCTAATCTCTGGGTCTAATAGAAGAACGTCACCTCTTGTCCTACCTTGGCGTGAAGCGGATCAGCAGAAGTGCTTTTGCCGGCACGCTGCCTTGGGGCACTTCAAGAACGCCATTATTTGGGGAGACGGAAAACACTTCTGGGTCTCGGTGCCTTTCATCTTCATCTAGAACAAGAAATTTGTACGATTCCCCAGATGACATAAACTGACGTTCTTAAAAAGACCTTGCCCAGACTAAACAGAATGCTTATTTCCCTTACCGAGACAGATTAAATCTATTCTGAAAGAACAGCAAAAATACAGCTTACCCCTTTTCAGTTTTTCTTTTGCAATTTAGTCTCCTTAAAATGTCTTATAGTATGTTCCAGTTTTTCCTGCGGTTACCATTCTGCTTTCATGGTAAGCTAACAAGCCCTCTTTAGTCTATGAAAGTGGACTAATGGGGTAAAAATCTAGACAATATCCTGGATTTCCAAGAACGTCAATGTTCTTAGCAGTGCAAGAGGACGCAACGTCTCCATTTCTCTTACTCAGCAAAGCCGTCCAGTAGCTCCTCGAGCCGCTCCTGTTTGTCACCAGGACCGCTTCCGTCCTTGTTTGGTTCACCAGGCAGGTTTCAAAATCAACGGTCGTGGGAGAGAGTTCGAGAACCGGGACAGTCAGACAGGCCGTCATGGGGAGCACCTGCAGCAATATAAAACGGGGCCCAAATCATCAGAACCGCCTCGCACCTTACTTCAGGGGAGTACCCTTGGACAAAGGAAGCCAGGCCAAGCTGTCTCTCATGACCAACCGTGGCCGGGCCCCCATACCGGAATGCCCCTGTGCGTATTCTGTGGACATCAGAGCTTTTCCAGAGGCAATGCAGAAAAATGGACAGCATCTTTTAAAACCATGGCTAAGACTGCAAGCGGTGGGGCTGTAGACTCTTTCCCCCTGCTTTCTAACGGTTTCCTAAATCTTAAGTGCAGGTAAAAGCAGGACATTAACTCCAGTAGCTGCGGAGGCTCTCAACTGAAGCACGGTGCAGATTATTTCTGTGCAGGAGCCAGAGATTTTGTTGTAAAGTAAGCTCTACTCACTGGCAACGTCATTCTTCTCCTAGCATATCTAAGCTACCTCTGAAACCAATGCTGACTGGGGTCCTCTCTTTCTCGCTTTGAGCAATCCTCCCGTGAACTATGGGGTCTGGATGGTTAACAGCAAAAGCACAAAAGCAAACAGAAAGCCAGCCACGGGGCACACTGTACTCACTCTGGGGATTTTAGATGGCTTTCTCTTCAAAATGGAAATCAAACCAGCTCAAAATGAATACAATTTTTAACAAGCTCAGATACTGTAAAACAAGGGCTGGAATCCTAGTGTGAGTTTCCATTTGTGTAAGGGATATTGTGGAAATCGTGGCTGCAAACAGCCACTCATTAAAAGGGGTGATGAGCCTGTAATCTGATGGGTTCCTGCACTGATCCCACTCAGGACAGCTCTTTGCCAAATCATCCATGGTGAGAAATGCTGAAATCACAGGGTTCTTCACTGCTGCCAAAGCCAAACCCTTTCCTGGATTCCCTCCGTCTACTCCACCTGGACTGCTTTGTTGCTGTACTCGATGACAAGGTCTTGCTTAAATTCCAGTATTTTGTCTCCATTTGCACCATGGAGTACTTGAAGTCCAGGCACCAGCTGGTCCTCTGGAAGGTGCTGGTAGGTTAACAACTCCAGGGTGGTGTGGAAGGACACTTTCAGCTGTGGAGAAGCCAAACCAGAAGTGTCAAACAGTAGGATCACGTGCACAGGAAAACGGACAAATAAAAAAAAACAGGCAATGTGTTTTATCTTTTATGAGGCCATGTTCTGCTGATGCCCAAACAGGTGAGCTCTTGAATGACACGGAACTCTTTGTAACATGAGCCTGAAGATCAACAGCGGTTACAAATGGAAATGTTGTACAACTGGAGGAGCAAGAGGTGCACTGGGCAGGCTACATGGGTCACTTCAGACCACTCCTCAGCAGGGTTCGCGCTTGGATTCCTCTGCCCACTCGTGTCCAAGGAGATAGCCATGGGAGAGTTTCTCTGCTGGCCAGAGAAGCCTCCATGAAGCTGGCTAGGTCTCTGGGATTAGAGCTTTGCATATAATTGCATACATGGGCAATCCCTAGATCAGAAGGCCTGATTCATAATACCACTCAGTGGGATCCAGATTTAAGAGTGTGCAGCTGCACCGGCAGAAGCAACCTTCTCTCGCATACATGGGCAATCCCTAGATCAGAAGGTCTGATTCATAATACCACTCAATGGGATCCAGATTTAAGAGTGCAGCTGCACTGGCAGAAGCAACCTTCTCCCTCCCTTCCTCCTCCCATCAGCCCTTCTAGCTTCCCAAAAAAAGCTGCAGACACTCTGCTGAATAGGGTGAACCGGCTGGGTAGATATCTCAGACAGAACCCTCTTGAAAGAGGGCTCCCAATCATACTAAGTTGACTTTCTTCCAGGTAAGTGCATACAGCAGGAGTTCCCAAAATGAAGACAACGGCATTCATGCCTCACCATCGTGAATTTATCATCGCCCAACCCCATTTAAGAGAAAATTCAATACATAATTCTATACTAAAAATAAACTTTCAATTGTACCAAAATTACTTTACTAGATGTTATGAAATTTGACAATAAGAAATTTGATGTGTTTTTTTCCCCATTAAATAAAATCACACAATCTCATCCTGTCCCTGGGAATTTTCTTCACATACCCCTGGAGATGACCCACCTTCCCCTAATTTTTGAACGGGTGGTGTGTAGGACTACAGCCAAAGAAAATTGAACTGGGATCCCTTGAGAACAACCCCACGCAAGTCCAGTCAACGCATGAGCTGAATTCAGATGCCATGGCAGAAACTGCTGGTGGACGGAGCAGGCGTATTACTCTATGGTAGTAAAACATCTGCATCTGAGGAAGTGGCACCCTATGAGTCTTTCAGATGCCACAGGGCTCTTGAAATCAATCAGATACACATTCAGTTAACATCTGGATTCAATCTACTGTGAGTATAAACTGCCTGCTGTAGCGTGAACTCACCAGCATGTTCTCCAACGCATGGAGGAGAAGGCGATTCCCTCCTTCATCCCTGTCGCTGCCAGATGTTTTAATAGTCTTCTTGGGATCCACTCCAGAAATAGAAAAGGGCATTGTTAACAGAAGCTTGAAGGAGAGAGGGGCCTCGGTATTGTTGGTCAGTTTCACATTGAGAGTGGTGGGTGCATCTGTCAGGATCTGAAGGAGAACACAGACAGGATATCATTGGCCCAGATGGCTACAGATTCTGGGTCGCTCCCATTACATGCACCTGTTGTGGCAGAGACTACCATGTGCACATAAGTCATTTAGGTGTGCCTACCCAAAAATGACTGAAAACTGCCTTGTGTATAAAGATTAGAATAAAGACACATATAAATTGTCCAGTTCTAAATGAACAAAGCAAGTTTTCCACATCTTGAGACTTTGCTTCCTCTTTATATCGGGCAAGTTTTGTCAGGATCTCTACGTCGGGCTGTTCTGCAGAGAAGCCAGGCGACTACATGTTGCCTTAAGGGCTCATTCATGAAATCTCTGTCCCATCGCAGAAGCTGTTATAGATTTATAATCGGAGCTGGCTTGGGATGGTTTTGTTTGTGTGTGTGTGTGGGGGGGTATTCTGGGAACTGTAGTCTATATAAAAGGGATCCTTCCAAGCCCTGCCTGCCCTAAACTCATTGAGTGGTAAGAAACACAGACGGCTTTATTCAGCCCTACCCACCTGAGCGACAGGAGTGCAGGACAGGTTTCGGCATTAAGCCAATTCGAAGCGGTCAACGTAGTGAGGAGGAAAAGGGATTCTGGACTGAACAAGGCCCATTCCGGCAGGTCAAAAGGGACAGAGGGAGGGGAAACGGGAGTCCAGGGGCAGAAATACCAGCTCCCTACCACTGCCTGCCTGCCTCCTCCTCCTCCATACTTGCCGCTTTGGAGGGGGGGCATACCAGGGATGGATTCTCAAACAAACAAAAATCTTCAGATTTTGCGTCATGATTTCCAGCTCTGTTGTGTGGCAACCACCCTGAGTACTGATGAGCTGCTGGGCCTATTCAAGGTGCTACAAACGGCCAGCACTACACACCAAAGAGAAACCCCTCTCCCCATACATAAACTGCTTATCTTATTCTTCAGGAGAGGGCTGAGATTTCATCACCTTGTCTCTAGTCGAGGTGTGCAGACTATTTATTTTATTTAAAATAATTTGACCCCGCCTTTCTCCTTAAAGAGGGCCCAAGTTTGCTGACACTCTAAAAAGACAGTATTTAAAGCTAAAAACGGTAAATGGACAAATATTTTAAAGGATCCAACAAAGACCACACTCAAAAAAGGCAAAGAAAAAGCTCCTAGGCTACTGTCTAGAGAAGCCCCTCCATCCACAGAGTCTGGCTGGCCACGGTTAAAGTGAGATGCTTTTTCAGTCTACTTCTCCAAAACGGAAAAGCCTTAGAAATGCTTACCGCTTTAAGAGGTCCATTTGGGATCAGACTACTGGCCACTGCGTGGAATAACAAGCCACTCTCATGATCCATTTCAACAGTTAACCTGCAAAGAGGTCATAAAACATGGTAATGAATGAAACTAGAACTGGCAAAGCGACAACTAAATGACCCTAATTGTAGAGGGGTGCTGGTCTAACTCAACCCACTGTAGCTGAATATGGAAAGCTCTTCTAGAACCACCAAACTAATCTGAGACTGGATTGAGAGAAACGTTATCCTAAAGAAGGTAACTAGAGAGACTCTGCTCTGTTCCCAGATGGCCTCCTGCCCCATTCCAGAACCTCTGCACGTGGCTTACAAGCTTCTGCAATTCATCAGTCCCAATACTGTACTCACAAAGCAGGCTTGACAAAGGCTTGCAGGTCTAGCCGCATCGGTGCCACGGCATGGCCATCTCCACGAGTCACTTTTCCAGGGATCTCCCGAGCAGCCTGGTAGAAGAAAAAAGTCAGCTGTGGTCCTGACCGTTGGAGATCTGAGACAGGGATTCCCTCTGTGCCTATGGAGGGTGGTGGAGGGGTAGAAGAAAAAAGTCAGCTGTGGTCCTGACTGTTGGAGATCTGAGACAGGGGTTCCCTCTCTGTGCCTATGGAGGGCAGCCTATGGGGGCTAGTGGTGCCCTGGCACCCGAGGGACTTTGGTGGGCTTCCTGGAGCCCTGGAGTGAGCAAAAGCAAATCGACGACGTAGCCGTCACACGATGCAACTGGAAGAGAACACCAGCCACCACTGACAGGCATCACTGACTCCCTCAACAAAGTTATCCGGTTTCTAGTTAGCAAAAAGAGGAAAGGTAAGAAGAAAAAAAGGAGAGGAAAGAGGATCTATTTTCATCTTACACATACCAAGTTGTCCAGACTCATGAAGCCGAGGCCAAAACCTTCACATTCAAACTTGTTAATGATCTCTGGCAGTAAAAGTGGGGTGAAGGAAATATGGACGGCAGCAACGCCACCGGCGGGGATGACCTGGAAAAAAACCCAAAATAGTTCTTTGGTTTGCGACTTTCTGCCAGAATGTCAGCCTGTTCCACCGGATCCTCACAGGCCTTGCTCCCATAGGTCACCACGCCAAGAGAGACCAACATTTCCACAAGAAAATGTGCCTCCTCGGTTGTGGCCTTATCCTTGTGGAATGACCTCCCATTAGAGGTGTGTCAGGCCCCTTCCCTCCCATCTTTCAAGAGACTGAAGACTGTAATTTTCCAAGATGTGCTTAAGGGACACCCTCTCTTAAATTAATTTATACGTCCATTCTCTGATTCCGCCATTATTGTTTGTTTTAATTACTCTTATCTGGGAGCTGAGTCATGGCAACTGGACTTCTTTCTTATTAGGTTGAAATGTTTTGCTATTGATCCAAGGAGCTTTTTCAGGCTGAAGAATGAGGAGCGAAATGTTTCAACCTAATAAGAATGAAGTCTCGTTGCCATGACTCTACTTTCCGATAACTTCACCTGGAGGACTGAGAATCTTCATAGATTTAATTACTCTTGTTTGTTGGGTGTCACCGTGAGTTTTATGCTGGGATGACTGGTTATTCTTTACTGGCAAGACCAGGACTTACAACTTGTTTAGGAGTTATGCAGAAGGGGTAATCCGAAGGCACCCCCTCGTGGGGTCGGATGACAACAGAGATTATGTTCTTCAGGGCAAGAGGCTGCCAAGCAGTGTCCTCCTCACTTGATCCTTCCTCATCCTCAAAAATTGGATCAAGAGTCTGTGGGAGTGAAACACATGACAGGGGAGGAGTCCAGAAAGAAGCAACGACACAGAATCGCATTTTTGTTTATAATGACAAGGGACAGATTTTTTTAAAGGTGCACAAATCTATGCAAATATAGGATTTTATTTCATTTTACTGCAATAGTTGGGAATGTTTCCTGAGAACTGTGGTCATTGCTCTTCTGGCAGTATACATCTTGTTTTGAAAAATCTTTGACAAATAAAGAATGCTTAACAAGGAATAATTAAGAACTTGGGAGTTGTGAAGAGGCAAAATATGTATTAGGTTGTATTCCAGAGAAGATACACACAAATACACCTGGCAATTTTCTAGTTAGTCTAGAAACCTAATTGCGGTGGCTTGGCTGTGCAAGTCCTCTACTGAGGATAAGCCAGAATCCTGTAAATCTCATGGAGTGCGGAAGGACCAGATCCTCCTCCATAGCTTAGGAGGCTACATCGCCAGAAAGTGACAGCTCAACAGTGGAGTCAGAAGAGCAGCCTAGGCTGTTGCTACTCAGTCTATGAGAGCCCCCGCAGGATAAAGGCATCAGCATGACAACACCACCAATTAGATATGCCTGTAGAATGATATCGATCGGGTCACGCTAGCCAATTGAGAGTGAGGGAGACATGATGAAGGAAGCACTGCCCTCACTCTGATCGGTCCTGCAGGGAAGAAGAGATGCATCCCCACTGACTGGGGTCAGGAGTCCTTTCTTGCTGTGCTGCAGCAGCTCCTCTTCCTAAACATTTCCTTCTGCTTCCAGCAAGCAGATCTGTCACCTCTCCTGCATAACGTGCTAATACTTTGGCTCCCTTTCGGCAAGTGCCACAGAGATGAAGCTTCAAGAGCCGACAGGCGCTAGGCACTTACCGAGTTCTCCCTGGAAGTGGTGAGCGAGGTGCCTGCCGAGATGGAGGACATTTTACCCGAGAGAGTTTCGGCTTCCCAGAGGACTTCAATCTCATTACCATCCAGGTCTTTAATTGGGAATGGGGCACCGTAGAAGACCAAGAGGTCCACCAATTTGTCATCATCTTTATCTTGGTTGTAACTTTCCCAGTCCATCCGAATGTCTATCCGAAAGGGGAGAAAAGCAAACCAACATTCAGGTTTGCCAAAGACGTGTGAGTGACCGCAGACATACATATTTTTCCTACAGTGAATACGGTATCATGAGATTGCTACCATGTTTAAAATAACCACCGCAGGGCAAATATCATGGTCAAAAAAACTTTCACATTGCTCTCATTCAAAGCCGCACTGATACTAGGTACAGAATTCAGTATCCTCACATTTCATTTTAGAAAGTCCACAAGATTCACACCCTCAAAATATTGAAAGAATACAAGCAGTTTGGGGATGGGATACAGAATCCTCCAACTGGGTACAGAAGACATGGCTTGTGCTCATAAATGCACAGTCTAAGCTCCTGAGTATAAAAATCGGGCTTATTAGGTATATTCCAGAATGGTTAGCAACCTCTCTTTCAGTGGCAAACAATTCAGTCAAAAAAATCATCAGCCACCTTGTAATGAAACTGCTTGCTACAGTGCTGTGATTAATGTTGGGATGGGGGGTGGGGGAGCCCTTGGAAGCCTAGCAGGGGGGCAAAAACTTACCAAACGGAGTAGGGTTGTTCAACCGGATACAGCGTGAGACAGTATCTCCGCCGGAGATGTGGGCCCCAAACCTGGGAAGCAGAACCAGGGAAGGATCAAACCTTGGTGTTTAGTTTCAAGGTAGAACATTTTCATCCGTGCAATACAGCTAGGTGGGCAAAGTCAGAAACAAAAGCGTTTCTCTGTATTCTGCAGACGTGGTTGAACCGGAATACCTTCTCTGCAGACAACAGCTGGGAATTAGGGGGAAAGAAGAAACAACCTGCTAAAAATTATGATGGAGGGTGTCTTAAAGTTGATGTATGGGGGTTGAGGCAGGCCTTTTAGGGGCTCTCCAAGCTGACTGATCCAGCCTGGTGTATACAACACGGGTCCGAAACAAACCCAGGGCTGTCTGGCTTTGGGGCCGGGCCCAAACGCCACTCTCCTCTGAAGGAAAGAGAAAGTGAGGTGGGGTGTTTTGGTTTTTTCGCACGGCAAAAAATGGAAACAGATCAGGCCTGTAGATCCCTTAAGATGCACAGGCTGAAATCCTGTTGCTTAGCATAGTTAACTGCAACTGGAATAAAGCCCATTGGATCAATGGAATTGACAGAGGAGCTGACTCACCAAATCTCCACTGATTCAATGGGCCTACTCTAGTTGTTACTTTCTATGCTATGCAACAGGATTTCAGACACCGTTTCAGCATGGAGTTCTGTGAGTTAAAATCCAATATAGGTCTCTGAAGAAGACTATATTGTAATCCATGGTGAAATAGATCTGTTTGTCTGTTTCATGTTTTTTTTTTTGTTATATATGCTGAAACAGACTATCACAACTAAGCATACAGAAACATACTTTAAAGTGTGCTATAAGTGGAATTTGACTAAAGGTTAGGAAAGGTAATATATCATTCCACAGAGGAAAGCTTTAGCTGTCATTTAGACTGTATCAGTGTTGCTGGATGTATGTGGAAAGGAGAATGCTGGATTATATAATGTCTTCTGATAGAAGAAATCAAATGGTGCCAGCCTCCACTGTGATTAAACAGGCACATATAGTAAGATCCTTGTATTTAATATTTTTCAGACTGTGGATAAGTGAATCAGTGGATATTGATCCTGCAGATATGGGGGTCCTACTCTATACCATGATGAAATTTATGGGAAGGAAACAAGAAAAGGTCATACGGAGATGGTAGCGACTTCACAAAATGACTGAGCATTAGAGCACATTGAAACTATTAATGCAGATATACCCCTCAACTGCATTTGGAGTCCTTGACAGCCTGGCTAACAGCAAATGGCTTCTACCTGATTACAGGAGTTGGCATCGGATGGTCTGGTCCTGTCATCTGCAAGAATATGGGGCAGCCTTTCACAGTCATTTGGATGGGAATCAACATGGGCTCCGATTCTCCCACCTGCACAAAGAGATTTAATTTTATATATATAAAACGAATGAATCTAGCTGTTAAAACTACAAAGGGGTCTGGGAGCCCAACAGAATGGCTAGTATTCCCTCTGCTTCAAACAGCAAAATGGCCATTGATTATCGTCAGCATTCCGGGTCTCTACACCCCCCCACACACAAGAGGTCAGGGCTGGTTTGTCACCTCCCACATCCTTGGGGTCAAGGATCAAACGACAACTCTCCCCAAATTCAAGCAAAACCCTAGCAATCCAAAAGGGATCTCTCGCCCTAAGGGGAGCAGCCCAGAGAATGAGCTCCAGATTTCTGGGGTACAAGCCATACAAGACATCACAGACTCATAAGGCATTACTGCACTTTTTCTTAGAAACAGGGGCCACTGTCTCTAGTGAGGTCTCTTCCAAGTCCTAGACCTTCCGCATTCGTCTTCCCAGAGTCCAGGTCAAAGCCCCGTTCACTGGCTCATGTTGTCCAGAATCAAACAAGGCCACCTACCTTACAGACGAGTCTGTCCTCGTAATGTCCCCACATGTTGTTATAGGCTGTTATTTCTACAAAAAGCTGCTCAAAGGCCGTCAGGGTTCCTGCTGAGGGGTAGACGTGGAAAGACGCTCCCTTCCCACTTGACAGCATGGCAGCTCTGAAAGCTGGAAGTAGCAAAGCACAGCAGAGGAAAGGAGTGGACACCCATGGCCTTCGAGCACAACCTGCTCATTTTAACAGGGCTCGCACATAAGATGGTGCTAAGCTGTGTCCAGCGAGACGTTTCTTTGCCATTATAACGTCTTTCCTTTCCCCTGCCTAACCTCATGGCTGTAAAAATACAACAATGTCAGAATCAGCCTACCTGACTGCTTTCTCTTTACAATCTGTTTTGTTATTCGTCTTGTTTTTTCCACTGCTGTGCAGCTGCGCCTTGAAAAACAACAACAACTCAACTTTGAAGGATATGTTGGTTTCTTAATTCTAGGACATGTGTAATATTTATGGACAATGGTAGATCTGAGAGAGGCCACGTCATCATTTTCCATTCCAAATTTTAATTCACTTGGATGGCTGTGGGCAAGGGACCATCACTCAAACGGAAGTCTTTGGCTCTAAAAAGGGCACAGTACCATTTTTACACACAGTTAAGCAAGCCATAAAGCAGATGTCCCCAAACACGTGTCCTTCACAATTTTTTGGACTACAGCCTCTATCATCCCCAGACAATGTGGCAGCTGACCTGTAATCCAACACACCTGGGGGAGCATCAGCTTCAGGAAGGCTGCCATCCAACATCTCATCTCATATGGAAAGTAAGGTGGGGGGAAAGCAACCCAGAGTGACTTAGGGATCACTCGGGAGCTGCTGCTTTGACACAGATTTTGGGATGCCCTGCCCCAATTCATGCATCAGATCCAATAATGCTCCCCTACGTGAGGAGCTCCCAATTTGCTGATTAAAAAGCGCAACAGGCAGAACTTAAAAGGTGCAACAAAGCTTGACCTCCTAAGAGGACATGATAGAAAAGCGCATCTGCAACAGAGGCCCTGTAAGTGCTTTCCAGGCTGGGGATGAGGCGGGAGGTCAAGACAGAAAAGGCAGCGAAAGCCACCTGCTTCCTTTGTGATACCTTCCACTACAGGATTTTGGAGCGAAACATTTTATAGTTATATAACGTTGAGGAGAGTTTTGCAGAGCAGAAAAGTAAAAATATTTGGTTTTTTCTTCTTCCTTCCTTCTGGAACTTCCCTGCAGGACGCAAAGAGGCCTTTGAAATGTTTGCTTGTCTGTTTGTTTGTTTGTTTGTTGGAGAGTTAGTTTATGGCACAAAGTGCCCTCAACCTTCTAGACAGGAATGCTGAGGCTTGAGAAGTCAAAATCCCTACCCAAGACTCTCTCCAGCTTTTAAGAATCAAAAAACAAAAACAGGAACAGCTAAAAATCCCAACCGACACCTCAGCCTTCTGTCCATTTTTAAAACTTGCATAATTCTGGCGCACTTCCTCAATATTAGTCACCGGAGAAACCACAGCCTTATTTTTGGATACACCTGTTTGGCTTCCAAATGGTTTGCTATTAGTGTATGTGATTTGCTCCTGTCCTCTGACCAGGTTCAAATGGAAGGAAACAAGACTCACGCAGGGGAACCCTCTTCTTCCGACGGTGGTGGTGGACCGCTGCTGAAATACTCCACCTCTATTGTGAAGACAGCAGCTAATTCAGAATGATTGGTGATGATGAGCTGACGTTTGATAACCCTCTTCAGTGGCACTTCAGACCCAAAGTCGAGTTTCAGATCTTCAGAACCCTCTGCCTTTTTCTCTTCATCGCTGTAGAGAAACACAGATGATTTCACAGAGAATCAGACTGCTGGAAAGGGAGCCAAACTTGAAAACAAGAGAAAGAGGCAAACCTCCGACACCTATGGATAACATTCTACTAGCAAATTCTGTATTCTCCTTCACTGCTGGATGGCTCCTTCTCAGGTAAAGACCCCCCTTGACATTTAGTCCAGTCATGTCCAACTCTAGGGCGCAGTGCTCATCCCTGTCTCCAAGCCGTAGAGCCAGCGTTTGTCCAAAGACCGTTTCCGTGGTCACATGGCCAGCGCGACTAGACACGGAACGCCGTGACCTTCCCACCAAGGTGGTACCTATTTATCGACTCAAATTTTTACATGCTTTCGAACACCTAGGTTGGCAGGAGCTGGGACAAGCAAGGGGGGCTCCCTCCATCGCGTGGATTCGATCTTATGATGGCTGGTCTTGCAGCACAGAGGCTTCTGCAATTTAACCCGCAGCACCACCACATCCCTGCAGATGTGGCTCCTTCTCACAGACCAAAATTATGATTCCCTTCCTTTACCTGTCAAAGGGTACAGAGTACGTGACATGCAGCCCCTTTACTTCACCCGAAAGGGCCAGGAAGAGTGGGTCCAGCATGTCTTCAATACTACAGCACATGGCGAGGTCATCCAGCTTTTCCTAATGGAAATACATCTTCGTAAGAATATGAACCACAATATCAAGACATGTGTTGATTTGTCATGGCCAAAATGCTCTTCTCCCCCTCCCCACATATTCCACAGCTCTGGAAGTGACAGGAACTAATGGAGGCTAATGAATGAGGTGCTCATAGCATGCCTGGTTGTGTGCCAGCTCCATTACCATCATCTCATTAAGCAGCCACCATGGCTTGTGCAGTTGTGGTCATACAGGGAGACAAAAACAACAGGGATCTGTCCCATGATTTAACTCTTAAGTCTGGATTCACTCTAATAAAATTCATTATCAAAAATTAATTAAACAACATAAAAAAA